TTAATAATACTAAATCAAAAATATCACAATTTAATAATACTAAATCAGAAATATCACAATTTAATAATACTAAATCAAAAATATCACAATTTAATAATACCAAATCAGAAATATCACAATTTAATAATACTAAATCAAAAATATTACAATTTAATAATACTAAGTCAGAAATATCACAATTTAATAATACTAAATCAGAAATATTACAATTTAATAATACCAAATTTTTTGGCTAGATAAATGATTGTAATTGTTGATTAAATTCAAACAATTCATATACAAGTATTCCTAAAGAAAAACATTGAAAATGAAACTTTTTGAATTTATAAAAAGTGATTTCAAAAAGAAATTTATCAATGATTTATATGCATAGTATATAATGCTTAGTTTATCACTATACAAAAAAGAATGCAATAAGAAGGATGAATGAAAAATACAATTAATTAGCATCATTGATAAACTAATGATTGTGTCATTTTTATTGCATGAAATAATATGAGTAAAGAAAAAAAATCTTCTTTAGCATTTGTCCTATTCTAGTGCAAGATCCGCTTTTCTGATACGTTGCCGAAATTTTGTTTGATCATACGCTTGATCGGGATGTACGTTAATAGATTTCATATCATTGTGTAGCGTGTCAGACTAACGTTGCTTCGGCTAACTTATAGGTCGCTTCCGTGAAACGTTGAAGTTGATGACAATCTTGCATGCAGAATTATTGCTGGTTCGAAGGATGTAGCCATACCATCTGATGCGAGACTCACGTAGCTTGTCAAAAATCGGGACGATGCCGAAGAATTGTCGAATGTCGTCATTGCGTACGACATTCGACCCAAGGCTGTAAGACCAGCTATGAACCGTGGCATCGTTGTTTCCATCTAATTAAGCAACGCTTTTATTCCCTGGTCGCAGGCCAACAATCGGCTTCGTAGATCGCGACAGATCGTATTACAGAACGATAGATCTTTCAAATGATGAGGTATGTTCTTGTCACACATGACATCAGTCGTAAAACGCTATTTCGATCATGCAGAGTTGACACGAGTGGTGATTTCCTGAATAAGGCTACCATCAAAAGCAATTGTCAACTCGAGGTACTTGAACGCATTTGTCCCGGTAGCTCAGTGCCATTAATTTTGATGGATTCAGGCTCGCTTGCATCGGTTGTCAAGTAGTGGTTTTTCTGATATTCAGATGAAGGTCAAACTGTGACGGTAGATCCATGACAAGTGTGACGTGACATAAAACTGTGACAAGCTTGCACTTGCCTGCACCTGTTCAACCCCGTCTTTGTCACTGGACACCAATATCATATCGCCGACGTAGAGCAGCGTGCAGGATATGGACTTCTGCAGGGTCCCTTGTGACAACGTCCTTAACAACGACAAAGAGGAGTGGAGATAGGGCTGAACTTTAGTGCAACCCTGCAGAAACTGAAAAATTTCCTGACGTTCCCGCGGCTATCTGGATCCGGCTTCTTGAATCAATATAGAGGATTCGATGCAATCGATAAGTTCTCCGCGACATCATGAGGGACGCGATCAGAGACTTTTTCCAAGTCTATAAAGGTAAAATGCAAAGCTTTTTGTTTTCCGCGGTGCTTCTCAGCAAGAACTCGAGCGTCATGAATAGCATCGGTAGTGCGGCAGGAGGCGACACATCCGCAATGGTTGTTGGAGAACTGAACGATATCGCAAATGCGTCTACTAATAATTCGTTCAAAGATCTTCATGGTATGAGAGAGCAGGTGAATCACCCGGTAGTTTTCATAATCGGCGGGATTGCCTTTGGAATAGTCGTGCTTTCATACCAGTCAGCAGGCGTCACCTTCTTCGCGACAATCTGGTTAAAGAATTGCGTTAAGCAATGAGCAGAGTTCCAAAATTTTGACTTCCATACTTCTGCTATCCGGACTATCGTCCGGACAATTGCCTTGCAGACTTCATTCATTTCAGTGCTACTTCAACTTCCCCGATCATGATGGGCTGGCTGTACGGGGTCATAGGTTGGGACAGCTTGGGGAATAGGTGGGTGGTTAAATTCTTGACTCGCACCATCGTTTCATTACATTTTTATGGTCCATAAGAAGGTGACCTTATTTGTCATTAATACCGTAAAACTTTTCAACATCTTCGGTTGCCTATGACGAGATTTTGCTAGTCGATAGATAAAGGTCCTCTTGTGGTCCTCTTGCGTATCTGAACTTCCTATTGACCTCATTATTATAAGCAACTTTCATTACAGCCACAGCTTGTTTTCCGGCTCTCTTCGCTTCATCGTATTTCTACCAATTGTTGTCATCGTGTTCTCGAGATAAACGGGATAAAGCCGCCTCTTTCCACTTACCTTAGCCTTCATTTCGTCTGTCCATTATCACATATGCTTGTCGATTTTGCGTCGACCAGGGTTTTGTCGTTCCTAGCTCGGAGCACGCCCTCTCAATATGATTGACACAATTGCGTTTTGCCATGTTTCATTGATGCTCGTGACTGGAGGCAGTTGGATGATCTGCTGACCGCTAATCTGTTCCAGTGCGAAACAATGGTATATTCATGTTCTTTCAATCCTCCCCATTTAGCATGTTCCGGTCCGCATCGTTTATCGTGCTTCTGTTTCGATGATATGAACTTTATGAAAACAGATTAACGGTCAGTGTTATGTGACATGACTGTCACATCTGTGACAAGGTTTTGGTTGTAATGATAAACTATGATGAAGTCTATTTGCATTTTGCTATTGTTTGAGTGAGCGTATTCAAGTTCGCCATCAACATTTTTTGTCCCATATCTGAAACCTCTATGGGAGTTATATCCATCCTTTGTCGAACCGATATGGTCATTTAAGTCTCTCCCAATGACCATACTGTCTTCTGATAGTACTTCTGCGATCTTTGAGCCCAGAACTCATCTTTTTCTGATCAGAACATCCAATCTGAGGCGCATATGCTAAGAATATGTAGCAATAATGTTTTTTAGTGACAGTGACAATCTTCATTAATATAATAAATCAATAAATCACTTATCACTTTTTTTTTTTTGCAACAATCGATTCAAATTGTTCAAGTGTTGAACAAATTTTTTTCAAAAACAAACAATGAATTAATTACTTTGTTTCGACATTAAAGTTGGAATTTCGAAAGTTATTTAGTCCGCAAAAAGCTTAAAGTGGATATTTTAATTCGGTTTGCTGCTTATATTTACATATAATAAAATTAATAAAAAAGAAAAAAAACTAACCCTCGGAAAAAATCAATTCAGTTTGAAACATTGCAAATATACAAGTTTTAGATAACTGAGTCTTTTTTCCGTGCAAACATTCTACGTGCAAATATACAAATATAAGATCATGTGGTTTCATTGATGGATTTATGAAAACGTCCCCTATTCATTGATGATCCGGAATTCCGGATAATGTAAAACTTAGTGAGGGATCTAAATGTTACATAGCGTCGCAGTTTCCCCATTGATGAATTAAGGTCGTTGGACAAATTGGGGTACGGCATTAATTTGTAATTGTTACCCTTTGACCCCACTTAGTTTAACTTGTTCCGTCGTTCGTTTGTTGTAAATATTTATTTATTTATCTTTAATATTTTTTTATTTTATTTATCTGCTGCGTCATATAGCTGAAAATTTCAGGTAACCGTAGATTTCCGATAGTAATATGCAAATTGTGGACAGTAAGCGTAAGCTAAAGAGTCGATAACTACATCTTTGTCAATAAAATATAAATAATGAATAATAGTTTCGTCACATGCAGTACCCAAAAGGGGATTATTACTCGAACGTTGGGTAATTTAATTACTGTTTGGCCACTTAATGTTCAGCAGAAAAAGGAAATCATCTTCCAAGATGTCGCGCCGATATCATCGCAGTGTTTAAAAGTTGGTGATTGGATTCAGATGGAGGTGAAACGTGGTGATGTGGTCGCTTATCGTGAAAAAATTGAACCCGTACTACAAACATTGGTTACATTACGTGGAAATGTACAGGTAGTGCTTTTTATTACTTGTGATTTATTAACGCTTATCCCAATTTATAATTGTTTGAAAAGCTGCATATAATTATCGACAGAATAACATAGTTTTATGTTATGTGTTGTCACATCTTGCAAGATGGCAAAAGTAGTCTATGTTTTTTACATATTAATTCCGTTCATAATTTCCAGGTAAAAACACGTCTGTATTTTCCAAATGGAATTAATAGAAATTGTGAGCATGTGATTGGTTATTCGGACGATTTAGGAGAAATGGGTATTTTTTTCGAATGTCCTGAACTGAAAGCTGACTTTTTATATGATGTCTGGGTATCGAGGTTAGTCGATTGGTTCAGTTTTCTCCCTATTTCATGAACTGAAAAGAATCTGAAAGGTCATTGCATTGACAGGAAAGTTGACCTGGAATTATAAACTTTTAGAAAATTTTTATTCATGGCTAGGAAAAATGGAGAAAATGACAGTAGAAAAGCAGTTTAAAAATCCACTGAAAACGTGAAAAAGTTGAAGCACTTTCGTTAGATCGTTGATTACGGACAGTGTTATTTACTCTTTTCTTAGACCTCCCAAAAAGTTCGCATCGTTGGAAAAGAGATATGATGTGCACTGGTATGTTGTAAGACAAACGATGATTCCGTTAATGAGAGATAATAGAACAACACTTTTATGGGAAAATCAGTTGGTTGATGACGATTCCGAACATTTCAACAATACCTTGACCGAAAGTAACATTAATTCATGTGAAATCGATTTTCCTTACGTAAGTTTTTGCGTTTTCTTGTCAGCTGTTATTTTACAGATAATGAATAGGATTTTATGGAATAATGCAGTTTGAGACATTGATATTACTTTCTGGTAAATTGTTATGTTTTTCATCTCATGTTGTTATATGTCCTTTGTTTTTTTTTTTTGTTATGATATATCCCGAAATTCTTTCCGACTAATTATCATCGTGCATTAGGTATTAAGCTTTAACGACAATGCTCTAAGAAAATTATATAGTGATCCGAAAGTACGCGAAGCAGTTTATCGACACAGTAGTGATTTCGCCTGCTCAATCGAAGCTTATTTGAGGAGACTTCATGATTGATTTCCATTGAGGTATTTCCTATTTTTCTCTTCGGAAATTTAAAACTAATGATCTCTATAAAAGCTTTCTTTGGAGATACCTCCAGCTTGACCTGTGAGAATGGTTTCTTCTAGTATTTTGACATTTCCTATATTATGTTTGTTTTATATTTGTTTGTTTTCATCTGGGTTATTATCGATAGGTTATGAAGTATCGTCAGTAATAATCTTATGATACATCTTGTCTTACTAGTTTATTTATTTTAGGTGTCATCGCAAGTAAATATTTCTTCATGAAAACGGATGAATAGCATAATGATATGTTTCTTCTACATGATAAAAGTGAGGCCATTGAGAAGCAGAACAGAGCGGATGAACCATTAATAAAGTTTACGATCCAAAGTGATAACTTAATCACTACACTGTAATTTGCAATAACGAATAATTATATGCTTTCAGTGCTACTTTATGGTTCTGCCGTAATTACGAAATATTTACTTTATAAATACACTATATTAAATGAAAAGCTTCTGTCGAAATGTACATTCTATATTACGCATTGTAATCGTAGAACCTGAATAAGGACACAATCTATCACTGGAAGGCCTTCCTATATGCGAACAATATTAGTATCGATTGAAGCTGTTTAATTAATAATAGGGTAAGCAAGGACTGACGAAACTAAATGTCATTGGAATATATTTTGAATATTATTTATTTTGTGTTAGCTTATATTGAAAAAAAGTGATTATTAATATTTTAAATATCAAGAAATCATTTTCGATTACTTCGTACCCCACACTGATGTGCATTAATAATTTGATATGGTGATATCATATCACAATATTTTATTTTTGGATGTAAGCTGCGCAAACCCGATGTTTTATGTTTCAGTAACACATGGAGCAGAGACACTATTTTTAGTTATTTGAGATTTTGAGTGACCTCTTATCATACATGCTAATGTAGACGAAATGACGTTTTCCACCAATAGTACTACTAAATTTTATCATATATTGTGTTGTAATATCATGATCTTCAAATTATTTAAACATAGAAAAAATATGAAGGATATCAGTAACACTCTCTAGTTTTCGTCGATTTTTGTTTTCTAATTTTGTCGATTTTTAAGTTAATCGAAATCCCATTATATCTCTTCACAAAACTTCACTTTCTCATGAAATTTGTCCTATCCAACAATAAATAATTGCACAGATAATATCAAAGGAAAGAAAAAATCGTAGTAATCATCGAAGCAAAATCAAACATTTGCAAATGCGAAATACAACTATTGAGCATTTTGTGATGTAGAATTTATAATTTTATTTTTCTTTTCACCATGGGATTATTTCGAATGTTGCTAGCTTGGTTATGATTTTACATGATACTTACAATATTGTAAATCATTTTCATATTACATTAAGTCTGAATGCTGTTTACGGTACTTTTTGCGAATTTTATTTGTAATTAATTTTATATTCAGTTTGACGGTACAATATTGGTTGCTATTTTTATTGGTACTAAAATGACTTTTTATAACATATATGCATTTTCTTTTTTTCAAAATAATATCAACGGTATCATATTTAATGATATCTTGAATGATACTAACCTAATGAAACCTTTAACGATACACATGCTATCTATACAACCTACATCATATTTCATCAATGTGAAATTAATCAATATAACAGCGTTGGCGAATATGTTTGATCATTTCGTTCTTTTTTTCTTTCTCTAATATCATCACACTCATATCATCGATTTCTCTTGATGCATTCGTTAAATTTCAGTTTTCTAAAATTCAGATTTTAGGATGTTCCTATCAAAGGTACCGCTTATGAGATATCCGAAATTGTTACAATATGCCAAAAATAATTTATTCAGTCATCCTTTACGTACACAAAAACAACCATCACAATTTAAAGTATATTTTTTTTTTTTTTTTTGTTGTTTTAGTTTTTGAAGATATTCTATTCTCCTTTTTTATATGTTTGATTTTCCCTCTTCTTGATTTTCGAATTTCATATTGTTCTTTGTTTTTTTTAATTGAGGTTTTAACTATTTCATCCTAAAATTATTTACAATTTTATGGGTTTATATTTTCAGATTGAAAATCAAAATAACT